CAGCGGGAGCATCCTAGATAAAAGCTGAGGCTGGGGTTGCAGAGAAATCGAGGTTTTCATCCCTGCTCTACCACATCCTGGCTGCGCAACCCTGGAAAAAAGTTACTCAGCCTCTCTGAGCCTCACGTTCCTCGTGTGTAAAATGGGGCTATGCTGGCACCTGCCTCTGGGTGATTATAAGGGTTCAAGGTGATGATGCACACAAAGGGTTCAGCACAGTAAGTGCCAGCTCTCATTATTGTCATCCCTGAGTACCTCCTCTGTGTGCAGACCACTGAGTGCTTTACAGGAATCATCTCTAACCATCTTTAACCATCCCATTACAGAGATGAAAAAAACTTAGGCTCAGGGAGGGGAAACTAGAATGAGTATATGCACCACTGGCCCTTTCCCCACATGCAGAGGGCTACACTAAGAAAGGCTCCAAAGTCTAATCTAGGTGGAAAATAGGTTTCCAACTGATTAGTGCAGCTGCCAGAGGCGCCCTGCTGGAGGATGCTGTGATGGATTAGCAATGTCTGCACGGATGAGGGCATGGCTACTAGCAGCATAACTGGCACAGATTTACCTAAATAGGAGATTGAATCTTGATTTTCTCTAGAAACAACGTCCTCTGAAAGTGTTATGTTCTATCTGAATACTTGATGTCTGATGTCTTACCGAATCTACCATGAGCAGTGTGTTTACACAATACACACGAGCCCTCTTCATCTTTGGGGCACAGATGATAAGAATGACAACCGCATAGGCGGCGGTTTTTCTAGTCTGCACAGCTCCATTTTCACATGTGCCTTATGTACTGCTTTGGTCTTTGGCACAGTCCTGTGAAGTGGGGATTACCCCCCTGTTTGACAAGTGGGGACCCTGGGGGGTCAGAGAGGTTAAGAAACTGGCCCATGATCACCCAGCAAATATGAAGCAGGAGCAGCCCCTAGGTCTGTCTGACACCGTATGCCACCTCCCCATGAGTCAAACAGTGCAACCAATCCCTGACATTTCCCACCCAGAGACCTCCCAGCTGAAACCCCAGCTGACAACACATGCCCAAGGGCTAGGCCAGGCAGAAAGTGGTGCTGACTTGTGGGTGAGGGGACGCTTCCTGCTCAGGGAGGGTCCCAGCAGCCTCTGGATCTCCAGTGAGTCAGGTGGTGACTCAGGGCTGAGCTCTGGGCTGGATGAGGAGCTGAGTCAGGAAGCACCAAGCTTCAAAGGGCAGCTGGCTCTGAGCCAGGGCCCCTCAGCACCAAGGACAGCGGTGCTTAGGACAGTCTGTCTGGGGCAGGCCTCCCACACTGCCCTGGGCCTGCTGGTCATGACAGCAGGTCCCGCTAGCCTGACCCTGATACCGACACGTCCACTGTTCCTTTGGGTCCTTGATGGGGAGCAGAATCCTGCAGTGTCTGGAAAGGCGAAGGGTCATTTATGGTTGTCACAATGGTTGAGGAACACTACCTACTAATATTTAGGGACCAGGAACACCAAACGTCCTGTAATGTACAAGTCAGCCGAGACCACAAAACATGATCACACCCAAAATGTCAACAGAGCCCCCACTGAGGAGCACGACACTTGTGTCAAAGCCTCCTCCTCACCGGTTCCCTAGGTTAAGAATGGCTCCCTCCCTGAGCTCCCTCTGGAAGAGAGGTGGGGGGAGGTTTCTGGCCAGTAAAGAACCCTAGAACCCAGTATCTGATGAGAGACACCTCACACCCCTAAAGCCCAGCCTGAGCACCCCACGATCGAGTCTCTGCTCCCGGGGTCCCCTGTGAACACCAAGGTCTCCTGGGTCTGCGTTTGTAGAAACGCTCCTTGGCCTCTCCCCCACTGACCCGGCTCAGGCTGTGAATTTGGCAAGGCTGTAGTATCACGCTCACAGGACCCGCAATCACGGGTCCTCCAACTCCCAAACAGACACCATTGCAACCACCAAATGTCAGACACATTTAAACACACAATTTTACAGTCTTTGAATCACAGAAACTTAGAATTTTAGTGTCACTGAGCTTTAGGCCTGAACTTAGAACGCTGAGATTCAATCACAGAAGTTTGGAGTCCAAGCAACCCACAGCTTGACACTTTCGAGGCTGTTCCATGCCAGAATCATCAGATCTCTGGTCCAGAAGGCAGCCCAGCAGTTAGGCAGCCAGTTCAGGCGGAGACCTCCATCCTTCCATCCCTCATCCCAGCCTCAGCAGCTTCTAGCCATGGGGCCTGGGGAGCCCGATGGTGCTCTGAGGGGCTCCTGGTGTGAGGCGTCCCTCCAGGAGGGGCTGAATTCGGCCTCACGTCCTACCCCATGCAGTACCTTACACTTGGACCCAGGGCTCCCCCTGAGACAGGCGAGGACCAAGCCCAGCTCTGCCTGGGATCTGGACCCTTTCCCTCCCTTCCCCCTCTGGGACAGCCCCACAGTTGTCCCCAACCCCAGGCTCTCACTTACCCTGAGGCTGGAGGTTAAAGGGGTGGTGAGGGCAAACAACAGAGGACCCCAGGGACTCTGTCTGCCCAACAGGCCAGAAATGTGTCAACCTGGAAGGGTCTCTGTGCTCTGTTCAGTGGTCAGGGCCCTGGGTGCCTGAGGTCAAAGGTGTGGGCGAGTGTGGCTGGCACTCTGGGCTCCCAGGACCGGAGGGGGCATTTCATCCAGCCCCTCCTTTTTAGGTGGAGTGGAGGTGCTGAGACTCAGAGACAGGGGACTGTGCAAAGTCACACACCTACTTCATGGCAGACATGACCCAGACCTGCTCTCCATCCAGGGGCTTCTTTGTGACACTCGGACGCTTAGTGCTGTTCCAGCCCAGCCAGGTCTGCCAGAGCCTATCAGAGGGTGAGCTGGGTCAGACTCCCAGGCCAAGGTCATCTGAGCCATGCCTCTGCATCTAGCCCCGAGCAGTATTGACCATATAGACTACGTAAGGTTCAGACAGGTGAAGTGTCTTTCCCAAGGTCACACAGCACCTAAGTGGCAGAGCCAGAATCAACCCTGTTGTCCTACCCATGCAAGGTCCCTGTGACATGGTTCCACTGTCTCCCTGCTCTCCCAGCCAGCTTTCTCTCCCTGAAAAGCCCAAAGCGCCCATGGTCCCCCTCCTCTGGCTTGGCTGCCCCTCACACACTGTGTGTCCCTAAGGTTTCCCCAACGTTTTGTACTAAAACTGCTCCCATGGGTGGTCCTTGTGTCCCCTGCTCCCAGGCACCCCCCAGGGCAGACCAGATCTGCTTCTCTGTCCTTCGTCATCCCATGGCAGGTGTCAGACAGCAGTGGGTGAACTGAGTTACTGAGCAGACCTTCTCACGGTGCCTGAGGCCTCCTGAACTGTCCCACAGAAGGAACATCAAGGTTCGACCAGCCCCACCAAGCTAGAGGCTCCCAGCCCTGAACTCCACCAAGTCCAGCAGAGACCCTCTGGTTTCCTCAGTCTGGGGAGTCTGGGGTCCATCTCACCTCAGCCCCCGACACAGCAGGGAAGCCAGCAGACGTGGGCTCAGCATGGCTGCCTCCCCCAGCCTTTCTGGGGGCTGGCCTCAGCCCTCCAGCCTGTATCCGGGCACCCCAGTTGTCAAGGGCTGAGCTCGGGCCCTACCTAGTGTGGCCTCGAGCACTGGCAGGGACTCTGTCCTGCTTGGTGGACCCCCAAAACCATTAGGCCACCATGCCTGGGTCCCAAAGCCTCCTTCTCACCAGCCCCCAGCCACAGGCTCACCCCCGCCATCCATTCCCACACTGCCGTCAGCAGTCCTTCTAAAACACACATCTCGCCACATTACGCCCCTGCTTTAAACTTCGCCAGGTCCCCAGTGCCCTCAGAACACAGGCCAGCTCCTCACTCGGCCTACGGGGCCTGCAATGTCTCCCACCACCCCTCCAGCCTCACGTCTCCACTCTGCCCCTCACTCCTCCACTCCAACCACACCAAACTGCCCTCAGCCCCTCCTCTCCAGCCCTTTGCTCCTGCCGTCCCCCCATCGCCGCTGCCGTCTCCACTTGACACCATTCATTCATTACTGGAGACTCGGCTCAGACATCGCCAGCGTGTGCCCAGTAAACACTGAAGGAGCCCTCATGGCTGTGCTCTTGTGCTGGGTGCTGAGGTCCAGCAGCAAACAAGACAAGCTCAGTCTGTGTCCTGGTCACCCTTGGAGGAGGCAAATGTTGGATTCAGAATCCCACAACTAGATAGTAACAACAAATGGAGGCTGAAGGGGAATCACAGAGGGCTGCCCTGAGGAGGTGACACTTACACTGAGATTTGAAGGATGCAACAAAGGATTTGCCCAGGTGACGAGAGAGAGGAAAAGCATGTCAGACAAAAGGAAGTGCCTATGAGATGGCCCTGAAGCCTGGAAGAGCACAGGGCAAGCAGGGTAGCAGGAAGTGAGACTGTGTGGGAGCGCACAGGGCCTGGTGGGCTGGGTTAGGACTTTGCTGCCCTGGGCAATGGGAAATGGTAAAGGAACTTAAGTAGGGAGTGACACGAGCAAACTAGAGGCAGCAAGTGAAGGCAGGCAGGTTTGTGATGAGGCTGCTTCTGCTGCTTTGGGCCCCAAACAGAGGCCCAGCCAGGAGAATGGGGCAGGAGAAACCTCACTGCCTCAGGCCCATGCCCACAGGTCCACATCACAGCTCTCAGCACCTCTGTGGTCACAGTCCATCAAATGGCTCAGTCACTGGGAGCTGGGCTGGGGTCTGACTGAGCTCTGTGTCCTGCGTTCCAGCACAGAGCTGGGGCTCACATCTGAGGACTTTCTGAGCCAGCCAGCCACTGGATTGACCCCTGCCGTTGGAAACTTCCAGAATGTTTGCACCAGCAGGTCCTCATCAATCCAACCTCCACGCTCCGACACCTCCCCAGATCCACCGCTTGCGCGCGCTCACTACCACCCAGGCCCCGGTGGCCTCAGACCTCCTAACCAGAGGCAGGCATGACAGGCAGGGCTCCATCAGGCAGCAGCTTGGCCCCGGGCAGGGCCCCGACAAGTGCAGGCCACACAAAGGATATGGGTTACACACCATCTTGATGCACCAGTTCCGGGGGCTGGTGGTCTGTCGCAGACAGAAGAAAGCAACGGGCGCCAGGTCCGGGTGAGGGACGTCCGGATCAGCTCCATCCAGGGGCTCCTCCAGGCCTGGAGGAGAGGGAGGGGGGCTCCGGGGCCCTGGCTGCTCTGTGACTCCTGGCTCAGGGGCCAGGGCCAAGGTCGATGAGGAGGGCGGCAAGGAGCTCTCAGCCATGTCAGCGCTGAGCAGGGAGCCTGGGGGGAAAAAGAGGTGGCACATGGCAGGAGCAGTCCTGGCACACGCTCCCCAACCAGCTTTCCTGGAAAGGAGACAGCCCAGCATCAGGCGCGCAGGCCCCGCCCCCTCACTCCGCCATGAGGATTAGGAAAGAGCTGAGGGTCCCAGCGAAGGCGAGTTGTCACCCACTTCCAAGCTGGTGGTCCTGGAGCAAGTCTGGTCACCCTCGAGGAGCCTCAGTTTAGGGAGATCAAGAGTGGGGGAAAGAAAACCTTCCTAGAATGTAGTTGTGATATTAGTTGGTTTTTATGAGACTAGAGTTGTGGATTTGTTGCATCATTGAAGGTAAAGAAAATTTGCAAGAAAAAAAAGGGAAAGTTGTTGAAAGGGCAGATATTATTGCCAGGATGACACGTGTTACCAAGGAGAAGTCGGGGTGCTGTGGGAGCAGATACCGGGGGACCTAGGCAAGCCGGGAGGGAGTCAGGGCAGGCATCCCTGAGGACAGCGGAGCTAAGACCCAGGGACCCACCACCCACTGCCTCACAAAGCTGAGAACCCAGGGCCTTCACACAAACTTCTTTGCTTTACAGATGGAGAAACTGAGGCCCTGAGAAACGAGTGGCATGCCAAGGCTACACCGTGAGGCAAGTAGAGAACTAGGGCGTGCTTCGAGGCCAGGATCCCAGCACCCGCCTTCCAGACTCAGCGATGACCGACCATGGCCTCGCTTGGCCCCTCTACAGCCGGCTAAGGCCACGTCGGGAAGACCAGCCGCTCCTCAGAACCTGCCCCTCACCACCTCCTCCTAGAGGCTACCAATCCCTGGATCTTCATCCGTGGGGGTCTCCTGGGCCCTAGAACCGTGACAGTGCCGGGCTGGGCAGTGGGAGTCGGAGATGAGGCCCAAATCCCTGGCGCCCACCCGGCTGCCACCCGTGGCTGCTAAGCTGTCGGCTGAGCCGCCCAGAGCTGATGCATTTGGACATTTCTCTGGCTCCCGGGGGCAATAGGCGGGAGTTGGCACCTCCTGCCACTTCGCCCGGCTGGTCAGGGAGGCAGACTTTTCCCCCGAGCTCAGGGCTTTGCTCTCGGTTCCAGAAAAACAGCCACGGGCCTTACATAAGCTCCCAGGCACCTCGGCCCGCCATGTGTCAACCCCTGGGCTGACAAACATCCTCCCTGAGGTGGCTCCAGGTCTGCCCACTGCTGTGCCAGCCTCAGAGCCTACTGATGCATCCACTGGCCCCTCACTCTGGCCAAACCGGACCTCCTCAGATTCTAGAGCTGCCTCCTCCAGGCCGCTCCCTGCAGCACCCTCTCCTCCATATCGCACGCCCTGTTCTCCCTGAAGATTCATTCATTTGTCCAACAATATTTCCTGAGCACCTACTATGTGCACACATTGTGCATCTCTGGAGCTACGCTGGTGAATGAGCCAGGTCTGGCACCAGCCCTCATTCACAAGAAGTCAACACTCCAGCAAGGGAAAAAGACAAGAGTCAATTAATTTTTCTCTCCCTCTGTGCTTCCATAGCTCTTATCACCACCAAACAAACTGTATAATTTATGAATTTATATCTTTATGATTTAGTGTCTGTCTTCAACCTGAAAGAAGACTGTAAGAGAGCAGGGACTGTGGTCTGCTTCTCTCACCGCAGTCATCCCCCAGCACCTGGAACAGTGCCTGGAACATACTAGGTGCTCGATATATATTCGTTGAATAAATTAATAAAAAGTGCTGGGAGGTAAATAAACAAGGGAGAATGGTGGGAGTGGGGAGAAACCACCTCAGCCTCTCTAAAGAAAGAGATGTTTAAGATAGAAACAAAACTCAGACGGCATCGCCATGGGCGATCTGTGGGAAGAGCACTCCAGGTAGAAGCAGTCGCGTGTGCAAAGCCTGAGAGGCTGGAACACGCTTGATGCATTTAAGGAACAGAAACGAGGCCAGTGTGGCTGAGCCTGGGGCAGGGAGGGGGGATGAGAATGGAGTTTGGCAGAGCCCATGGAAGGAGCCTGGGTTTTAGTCCAAGTGCAAAAGGAAGCCATGGAAGGGCGTTTATGTAAGGAGTGCTGTGCTTTGCTTGGTCTGTGTCTTTAAGCCATCCCTCTGAGGGCTGAAGGGAGAGTGGGTGGAGGGGCAGGGGTGGAGCAGAGAGGGCCACAAGGAGGCTGGAAAGATGGCCTGGCCTGGCCTGGCCTGGCCTGGGATGCTGGTGGAGGTGGGACGAAGGGGGTGGATTTGAGATCAGTTTTAGAAGCAGAAGAGCCAGGCCTTGTACAGGCCCAGTGCCACCCTACCCAGCACCACCAAAACCCTCCCTGCACCAGCACAGGCGGGAAGAGTCGCCGTGGCCTCTGGGACCACACATGATCACCCCCTCTCCTCGCTCTCAGTTCCACCCACTTTGTATTAACTTGCTTTGTGCCTCACTTGGCCCTGTTCAAAGCTGTCACACTGTGTTATTGGACTTTGTCCTCTCTCCTCTCCCCCCTCACTGTGGGGCTACCACCCCCAACCCACTGCCCAGTGCCCGGCCAGCCTCCACCGTTTGATCTGTTTTCCAGGGACCACCCAGCATTTCAGCACTTGGACCTGCTTCCCGACGACCTCCTAGACCATCTCCCTCTGTCCTGTGCCCATAGCCCAGTTCCTGGCCCCAGCTGCCCATGTGCCTATGACTGGAAGCTTTTGGGATTTGGCAGTGCCCCACCCCCAGGCCCCAACCTGTCTGCAGATGGAGCCTTACAGAATCAAGAGGACTTGTGTTAGGGGGCAGCATTGGTGGATTCAAACTGAGGTCCATCTGGCTCCAGAGCCCAAGCTGCCGCCACATCCCAGCGTTCTTCCTCTGGGTGCTCCCAGGGCAGGCCCACCAGGTAGTGGTGTGGTAACTGGACTGGCCTCCATGAGCGGGGGTAAGGGCAAAGCAGGACCCCACTGTGTGTGGCATATACACCCACTCCTGACTCCATCGGCCTCTTGGAGTCTCGATTTTCCTCTCCATAAAGCTCAGCTTTCCTCCTTCCTGCCTAAGCAGGCCCTTGTGAAGAGGTGATATGGATGAGAAGGCTCTCTAGGATCCATGAAGATGGATGTCTAAGCATGCATGGGGCCAACTGGGCCATCTCCAGGGGCTGCCACCCAGCCCTCTCTCTGCCATCATCACCATCACTACCACCATCACATCACCACTATCACCTTCATCACCTCTGTCTCTATCACCACCATCACCATCACCACTATCACCTCCATCACCTCTATCTCCACCACCACCACCACCATCACCACTATCACCTCCATCACCTCTATCTCCATCACCACCACCACCATCACCTCCATCACCTCTGTTTCCATCACCAACATCACCATCAGCACCATCTCCTCCATGACCACCACCACCACCATCACAGCATCACAGAGGCTTTATGTCTGACTGTGCCACGCAATGGGCAAAGGGCTCTCTATGCATTGTCTATGTCAATTCCCACCACAGCCCCATGATGTACAGATCATGCTTATTCCTACTTTATGGAGAAGGAGACTGGGGCCCAGGGAAGTCCAACAGCGCCCAAAGTCACCAGCTGGTATACAGCAGAGTCTGGGATCCAGCTCAGGTCTGCCACTCCTGAGCCCAAGCACTGAACCATTACAGACACCACCCTGGGACAGAGAAAGGTGCCCTGGGACCAGGCCTTCTCTCCCAATTGAGCCACCAAAGGGTAGTTATAGCTGCTGGTCCAGCCAAGACCCCCAGTGTGGGCGAAGACCCTCCAAGCCTTCCTGAATCTAAGGGGAAACCTGCCTCCCAGAATCTTCCAGCTGGTACTCCAGAGCCCATGCCCTTGGAGTACAGTATGGGGAGGCCCTGTGTCTGCACAGCTCAGAGTCCTGGTGGAGAAAAACCTGAGGCCTGGCCGCCTCAAGCCGTGTGTGTGTGTGTGTGTGTGTGTGTGTGTGTGTGTGAGTGTGTGTGTGTGTGTGAGTGTGTGTGTGTG